AACGTCCTCGGGCTGCCCGACCTCTGGGGCTGCTCTGTTTTTTCCCAACCCTCCTGCGTTGGGTACTCGTTTTGAATAGAGCACTGCGGTCGCGTCTCCCCTCCTCCTTCCCGTCCCCCTCCTCTCCTCCCTTTTCCCGATATGTGAAACTGTCGCCACTTTCGAGGGCTGCTGGGGGGCCCAGCACAGTGACGTTTTACGAGGACTCAAATGGGACCTCGCCATCGCTGGGGGCTGCGACCCGTGAAACTGTCGCCACTTTCGAGGGCTGCTGGGGGGGGGCAGCGGAGTGACGTCTTACGGGGACTCATATTAGACCTCGCCATCCCTGGGGGGCTGCGGTCTGCGAAACTGTCGCCACTTTCGAGGGCTGCCGGGGGGCCCAGCACAGTGACGTTATACGGGGACTCAAATGGGACCTCGCCATCGCTGTGGGGCTGCGATCCGTGAAACTGTCGCCACTTTCGAGGACTGCTGAGGGGCCCAGCACAGTGACGTCTTACGGGGACTCAGATTCGACCTCGCAATCCCTGGAGGGCTGCGATCCGTGAAACTGTCGCCACTTTCGAGGGCTGCTGAGGGGCCCAGCAAAGTGACGTCTTACGGTGACTCAGATTCGACCTCGCCATCCCTGGGGTGCTGCGATCTGCGAAACTGTCACCACTTTCGAGGGCTGCTGGGGGGGCAGCAGAGTGACGTCTTACGGGGACTCAGATTAGACCTCGCCATCCCTGGGGGGCTGCGATCTGTGAAACTGTCGCCACTTTCGAGGGCTGCTGGGGGGCCCAGCACAGTCTGCACCCGCGGCGGACTCAAATGGGACCGCGCCATCCCTGGGGGGCTGCGATCTGCGAAACTGTCACCACTTTCGAGGGCTGCTGGCGGGGCCCAGCACAGTCTGCACCCGCTGCGGATTCAAACTAGACCTCGCCATCCCTGGGGGGCTGCGATCTGTGAAACTGTCGCAACTTCCGAGGCCTGCCCAGCACAGTCTGCACCCGCGGCGGATTCAAATTAGACCTCGCCATCCCTGGGGGGCTGCGATCTGCGAAACTGTCGCCACTTTCGAGGGCTGCTGGGGGGCCCAGCACAGTCTGCACCCGCGGCGGAGTCAAACTGGACCTCGCCATCCCTGGGGGGCTGCGATCTGCGAAACCGTCGCCACTTCCGAGGCCTGCCCAGCACAGTCTGCACCCGCGGCGGATTCAAATGGGAACTCGCCATCCCTGGGGGGCTGCGATCTATGAAACTGCCGCCACTTTCGAGGCCTTTTGGGGGGCCCATCACAGTCTGCACCCGCGGCGGATTCAAATGTGACCTCGCCATCCCTGGGGGGCTGCGATCTGCGAAACTGCCGCCACTTTCGCGGCCTGCTGGGAGGCCCAGCACAATCTGCACCCGCGGCGGACTCAAATGTGACCTCGCCATCGCTGGGGGGCTGCGATTTGTGAAACTGTCACCACTTTCGAGGCCTGCTGGGGGGCCCAGCACAGTCTGCACCCGCGGCGGATTCAAATGGGACCTCGCTATCCCTGGGGTGCTGCGATCCGTGAAACTGTCGCCACTTTCGAGGGCTGCTGGGGGGGGCCAGCACAGTGGGTACCCACGGCGGACTCAAATGGGACCTCGCCATCCCAGCAGTCTGCACCCGCGGCGGACTCAAATGAGACCTCGCCATCCCTGGGGGGCTGCGATCTGTGAAACTGTCGCCACTTTCGAAGCCTGCTGGGGGGCCCAGCACAGTGGGTACCCACGGCGGGCCAATGTGGGTACACACGGCGGACTCAAATGTGACCTCGCCATCCCTGGGGGGCTGCGATCTGCGAAACTGTCACCACTTTCGAGGGCTGCTGGGGGGCCAGCACAGTGGGTTCCCGGCGGATTCAAATGGGACCTCGCCATCCCTGGGGGGTGCGATCTGTGAAACTGTCGCCACTTTCGAGGCCTGCTGGGGGGCCCAGCACAGTGGGTACCCACGGCGGACTCAAATGGGACCTCGCCATCCCTGGGGGGCTGCGATCTGTGAAACTGTCGCCACTTTCGAGGCCTGCTGGGGGGCCCAGCACAGTGGGTACCCACGGCGGACTCAAATGGGACCTCGCCATCCCAGCAGTCTGCACCCGCGGCGGACTCAAATGAGACCTCGCCATCCCTGGGGGGCTGCGATTTGTTAAACTGTCGCCACTTTCGAGGCCTGCTGGGGGGCCCAGCACAGTGGGTACCCACGGCGGGTTCAAGTTAGACCTCGCCATCCCTGGGGGGCTGCGATCTGTGAAACTGTCGCCATTTTCGCGGCCTGCTGGGGGGCCCAGCACAGTGATGCCACAGAGGAGGACGGACACGTTCGTAGGGTAGGGCGAGTGCGACAAAGACAAAGATGTCACTTCTCTATCGTGCCGCACGGAGGCCGAAATTGAAGGACCTATAGGCGCGTGGCGCGAAGCGCCGCTGCAATGTTTGTGTGTATAGATACATATAAACAGAAGCATACACATATACACATACATATACATACACACATATATACACACACGATACGCGCACACAGCGGGCTCGGGCTCCAGACCCAGAGGGGGGGAGTGCGCCAGTGGATTTCCTTGAATACACTAAAGGAGGGGGGGGCGGACCCCCCCCCCCCTCCCCTTTGCGCCGGAAAGGGAGCCCTGCGCTGGAGAAGGTGTGTGGGGAGTGCGGAGCTGGGAGTAGGCAGTGGTGAGTAGTGAATAGTGAGTTAGTGCGTAGTGAGTAGTGAGTATTGGGTAGTGGGTAGTGGGTAGTGAGTGGCGAGTAGGGAGTGGGGAATAGGGAGTGGGGAGTAGTGAGTAGTGAATAGTGATGAGTGTGCACTGATAAGTGAGTAGTGAGTGGCGAGTAGTGAGTAGTGAGAAGCGAGTAGCGAGTAGTGAGTAATGAGTAGGGAGTAGGGAGTAATGGGTAGTGGATAGTGAGTGATGGGTAGTGAGTAGTGGGTGGCGAGTAGTGATTAGTGAGTAGTGAGCAGTGGGTAGCGCGTAAGGCGTAGTGAGTAGTGAGTTGGGAGTAGTGAGTAGTGAATAGTGAGTAGTGAGTACTGAGTAGCGAGTAGTGGGTAGTGAGTAGTGAGTAGTGATTACTGAGTAGTGCGTAGTGCGTAGTGAATAGTGAGTAGTGGTGAATAGAGAGTAGTGGGTAGTGGCAGTGGGTAGTGAGTAGTGAGTAGCGAGTAGGGAGTAGCGAGTAGTGAGTCGTGAGGATGGAGTAGGGCGTAGTGAGTAGAAAGTAGTCAGTAGTGAGTAGTGGGCAGTGATTAGTGAGTAACGAGTAGGGAGTAGCGAGTAGTGAGTAGAGAGTAGGGAGTACTGAGCAGTGAGTAGTAAGAAGTGGGTGGCGAATAGTGGGTAATGAGTAGCGATTGCTGAGTAGTGAGTAGTGGGTAGCGAGTAGTGACTAGTGACTAATGACTAGTGAGTTGTGAATAGTGATTAGGGGCTATGTTTTGACTAGTGAGTAGTGAGTAGCGGGGAGTGAGTAGTGAGTATTGAGTAGCGAGTATGGGAGTAGCGAGTAGTGAGTACTGAGTACTGTGTAGTCAGTGTTGTGTAGGGAATACGGATTTGCGAGTCGCGAGTAGTGGGTAGTGAGTAGTTATTTGTGGGCACTGATTAGTGAGTAGTGAGTAGTGAGTAGTGGATAGTGGGTAGTGGGTAAGGAGTAATGAGTAGTCAGTAAGTAGTGAATAGGGAGTAGTGAGTAGTGCTTAGTGAGTAGTGAGTATTGGGTAGTGGGTAGTGAGGAGTGAGTAGTGAGTAGGGAGTAGGGAGAACGGAGTAGTGAGTAGCGAGAAGTGGGTGGTGGGTAGTGAGTAGTGGATAGTGAGTAGTGAGTCGTGAATAGTGAGCAGGGGGTAGTGAGAAGTGAGTAGCGGATAGCGAGTAGTCAGTAGTGGGTAGTGAGTAATGCATAGTGAGTATTTTTTGGGGCTGGGGTTAGTGGTTGGGGTTAGGATTAGGGGGTTGGGTTAGGGTGAGGACTAGGGGTAGGGCTGCCGGGGGTCGGGTTCCGGAGTCAAGGGGCGGCGTGGCGAAAGGGGGGGGGTGGCGCGGCCAAAGGGGGGGAGGGGTGCGGGGGGTTCGCCCCCCCCCCCCCCCCCCCCTTTTTAAAGGGGGGGGGGGGGTAGGTTCCCCGACGACGGATCGAGGAAAGGGGGGGGGGGGGGGGTCCCCGACGACGGATCGGGAAGGGGGGGGGGTCCCGACGACGGATCGGGGAAAGGGGGGAGGTCCCCCCCCCCCCCCCCTTGGGGAGATCCAGCGGCGCACCCAGCCTTTTTTCTTCATGGCGAGATCGGGTCCTGTGAAACGGGGTCCGGGGCCTGCAACAATTCCACAGGAGGGCAGGGGGGCTGCAGGACGCCAAGGAGGAGGCCGAGGCGGCGGGAAGGTGGATGTGCAGCCCGCGGCGGAGGAGGATAAGGGGAAGGAGGTCGCCCGGCCAGGACTTCCAGGCAGGCCCGGCGCACCAGCGCCCAGGGTAAGGAGGAAGGCTGGAGAGGTAGGGGGACGTGGCCGCGAGCGGCCCAAGAAGCGGCCTCGATCAGAAGCTGGAACTCAGGAGGGACACGTCTGAGTGTCTGCCGGGGCTTTCAGTGCACCCGGGTGCTGAACTTGTTCCTTATCCGCTTGAGTTCTCGGCTTCACAGCTCGGCGCTCGCGTTGGTTCCAGGGGATGTGCCTCAATTTCGTGCCGCGGCCTGTCCAAGAGAGGTTATCCAGCGAGGCTGAAACTGGCCTACGAAAGCCCACAAATGGCCAAAGAATGGCCCAAGCAGTCCCCAGACAATCCCGAGAGACCCTTCAGGCAGCCCTGACTGCCCAAGAGACCCCGAAGACAAGTCCAAAACGGTCTTCAAATACCTCCGAAACGGCTTGGGAGACGCCCCAAACAGCCCCGTGAACCTCCCAAGAAGACGGGGAAGTCCTCCGCGCTCTACCACCCCTGAGACTGGGATCGGCGGACATGAGGACGAACCTGCTAGGAAAGACGCTGAAATTCTCGACCGATCTCGCAGGATTTCTTGCCTTCTGCTCTTCTCTACTATCTGCGCCCCATTCGTTTCTTTACCATAGCTATCTCCCCCTCCGTTTCTGATGTCTTGCAACGTGCAGCCATCGTCGGTGTGAGTCTTGCTACGCCATCTAGGACGATTCTCAATCGCAGGTAATCTGGTACATTCCGCGCTGCTGCTGCATTGTTCGCTGGAGCCGAGCGTTGGAGTTGGCAAGATAGATGCTTTGCTGCTGTACCACTCTGTCAACTGTGCTTCCGCTGACGGTCGACACTGATGGTAGGACGTTTTTCTCTGTAGTTCCACTGTGTCATTCGTGCTTCCAGGTCAGTCTTGATTTTTCGTACGATGTGTTCCTCCTCATAGATCGGCGCTCTGCCTTGTCCGTCTGCATGAGCAGTAGGAGTGAGGGAGGCGTCGCGGGGAGCCCAGTCAGGGAAGCGTCGGAGTGCGGGGTGGTCTGGACAATGAAGTTGCGCCAGAGTGAGCGTGATCGACAGGAGCCGGCTGTGGATGTAACGCAGCCTTCTACCTGACGTCGATGGGGCACAACAAGCACGTCTCAGAGTGCTTCTCTTCTTCCCTCGCGCCTTCTCGTCTGCTCGGTAGTGGGCACCGCCTCCCCTGGAAGGGAGATGCTGCGGGTGTGAGCGCCCCACAACATGTACAAGGAGGAGGAGGAGGAGGGCCCGTTGCCATTTTGGCTCAAGTTGAAACCCTCGCCCTCGGGGCTTCAGCTTGTTCGCAGCCGAGGGGGCTGGACCAAGCTTCTTTGGGCACAGGGCCCACGGTTTGTTTCCCTGGACCTCTCGGTCCCCAGTTCATTGCACCCATTCCAGAAGGCAGGCTCAGATGCCTGCGGTCGCCTCAGATGAACGGAATGTGCGCTCGAAGATTGGTGAAACTGCTAGTATATCTGATCTGGTGGATCTTCGACAGCATGTGGACACTACGAAAGCGGAGGTGCTCGCTACTATTGCAAGTATTCAAGGCTCTCTCACCTCCCTGTCTGACCAGTTCGCCAAGGGTTGGACCTCTGTGGAGCAGAAACTCGAGCACAAGATTGACGGCCTCGCAGAGAAGCACGCGGTGCAAGAAGCTAGGATCGACCATCTCGAAGGAGAAATCAAACAATTGCATGCTCTGCTGGGAAATATCAAGAAGGAGAAGCCGATTCCACCTATTGCTGCTAACAATTTTGATCGTGATATTGCTGAGCCCATCCTCATTCTACGCACCAAACTATCCAGCGCCAGGGCCGCAATCAAGTGTTCCATTGCAAACTGGATCAGGCGTGCTCAGCTCGAAGACGCCGATATCGAATGGGAGGGTGACGAGACGGCTAATAGGCATGCCATTATAATCAAAGGAGCGCGTCTGTATGCCGCTCGGAAAGTTCAACAAGCGCTTGGCGCCCTCCGCCTGCCAAACAATGGATGGGAAAGATTCAAAGTGGAGGCTGTTTCGGGAGAAGACCAAGAGTTATTCATATCGCCTGATAAGAATCAGGCACAGATCAAGCGGGAATTGGGGATTAATCACATACGGCGGGAACTCGAGTTACACTATCCGTCGCTCAAATTCTTCAGTGACAAAACTAAGGGGGAGGTCTCTACGCAGTGGAAACCGTTGGTCAAAGTCGAGCCGCTCCCAGGTGATGCACTCCCTCGCTTTGAACTTGCGATGGAGAATTTCCGAGCCTTCGGCATTGACAAAGATACCATCCTCGCAGGCGTCAAGCCAAATTATCGCCAGCTGTCCGACACCCGGTCCATTTAACATTGTATTTGGGAACTGGTCGCTTCCGAGCGGACTTCCTGCCAAGTTGCGGTTTGTGACTTGGAATGCCATGGCTTCGTTTCCTTACAAGTCTCACATACGCTCGGCGAAATTATCTCGCGTCCGCGCGCTGTGGCAAGCGGGCAGCATCATCGCCCTGCGTGAGACCCCTGGCACCCTGCCAGTAGTGCGGGACTTCATGTACCACTCCTGCCACCACTTCTCTGCCGTCGTCTCTTTCTGTCCCTCCCGTCGTGCTGGTGGTCTGGTCACGCTCACCCCCAACTTTAACAAGTACTCTCGCACTTCGTCTTCCACCCGTCCTACTCTCACCCGTAATGTTATTGCTCCTGGTCGAGCATTGGAAGTGTTGATTCGGATTTCTTCGGGATCCTGGCTCAGTCACTTCAATTTACATCTACATGGTCTTTCGGTTACCGAACGTCGTCACATTGCTCTTGTTCTTCGTGATCGTCTCTCCGACTCCGACCTTTTCCCGGCTTCCAGGCTTGTAGTTGTGGCAGGTGATTTGAGCCTGTCGGAGAAGGCCCCGAGGCCCCTGGATGCTGTTCCTTGCCCCGGTCCTACCCATGCCGCGCGCGAATGGAGACCCGCCCGAGACCCCATCCCCAGTCCTATCTTTGGCGACATGCTCGACGTGAACACACCATCCGCCACCCGCTTTAACAGGGGCCTCAACACCCTGAACACGATAGATCATATCCCCCTGTCCTTCCCGAGTTGGATCTGCACCCGGCTGTTTTTTTAGCGGCGAGGTCACCTACCCTGGAAGGCGAAGGGCATCTCGGACCACGCGTCGCTGGTGGCTGAGTTATCCTGCAGCCCCCCTATACCTCCTGGACAACGGCCTACCCCGCAGCACGTTTTCCATCAGGAAGAGTACACGAATTTCCGCAAGCAGGTCTTCGAGAAGACCGACGCTAGTAAGCTTTCCCTTGGACTTCTGTTGATTTGCAATGAAAAGATGATGCGGGAGGCTGCAGAATACGCTCAGAACGCGCTGATTGTGAAGCGCCCTGAGTCGTTGCCGACACGTCATATGTAAATGAAATTTTTGTAGAGCTGCATGGAGACAGGATATGCTACTGGCACAACGACTTAGGCGTGCTCACTCTCTGTCGCGGCATGATCTTGAGATCGACCTCCTGGGGGGCGGGGGGGGGGCAGGTCGCTCTCTTGCGCGGCGTCGAGTTTTTGCAAGCCCCCATCGAGCTTCAGCGCATGATTTCAGAACGTGAACAGCAAGATATTCGTCGGCAAGTACAGCAAAACCCAGAATCTCGCACGGCGGCGAAGCTCAGGAGGAGGCCGAAGGGCCTTATCTCTCGCAGTCGGCTATGGAGTACCTTTGACCGCCGACTCGCTCTGCGGGGTGTATCTGTGGCTGGCGGGGTCGTCGCAGAGCCTGGTGCTATGGCAGCGGCGCTTGTTGCTCATTGGCGCCCAGTGTTTGTGAAAAAAAGAATATCGCCCGACAGCGTGCTGAACGCTACCTCCAAGAATTCGGACCTCGCGCTGAATTGCGTGATCTTCCTCCCCCCACCCTTCCAAGGCTCCAAAGGTACCTTCACAAGCTTCCCCACCCCGCCCCTGGCCCTGGTGGGCTTCCCTTTGCTGCCAGGCAGCGCCATCCGCAGGAAGCTCTGGTCCTCGATAAGGTGCCCTGGTGGGTCCTCGCTGGGAATGCCCCGCTGTCGCGCTACAATGGCCTTCGCGAGGTGTTCACCCCAAAAGGTTCTGAAGGTGCAGATGATACTGCCATCATTCGGAGTGGTCCCCAGACTCGGCCCCTCTCTCCTGAACACGTTTATCCACAAGATCCACAGGGGTTTCGTAGGCGGGCGGAACTTCGGGGTCAACGTTCTAGAGCTTGACACAGACTCCCGAGTCTTCAGCTTCCGTACCACACAATATGCCATGATGCTTGGACCGACGTGTGAGAACAGCAGCCTTTGCTCAAACCAAGTTGGGCACATTTCGCGGCTGCCCTCGTTGGTGGCCTTCGACTACGGCCAAGCCTTCCCATCCATAGCGCGTGAGTGGTTGCTGCTCTGTCTGCTATGTATTCAATTACCCGAGCCTCTTCTTCATTGCCCAGCTTGTCTATATCAGAATGCGCGGTGCTTTGTCACGTTAGGGAACGCGTTGGTCTTCGCCTTTCTGATTGAGAGTGGGGCCGTTCAAGGGCGCCCCGCGCCAGGGCTGATATATGCGATTTCTTCACGCGCTTTCCTCGCATATACGCACAATGTTCTGGAACCTCGAATGCGATGAGTGGCCCGCACATGCGCTGACGATCTTGGTGCAGCACTTCGCGCGCTGGAACATCTTCGTCGTCTGAAAAGGATATTTAATCTGAGCCAGAAGCTCGGCGGCCCTGCTCCGAAAGTCAGCGCATGTTTAATTTCGCCGCTTGGCGGCCACTGCGCGCCCGAGCTGATTCAAATTTATAAAGGTTGGTGGGTCGCCAACATTCCTGAGTGGGGGGCCTTCCAAATTGTTCCGTTCTTGGCGTACCTTGGGATTGTTTTGGGTCCGAGCGTTGCTCGCGAAGTTTGGAAGGCCCCCCTTGAGAAATGGCGCCGACGCGGTTGTCAGATCGCTCGGGCCAGATCCCCAACAGCTATCACACAATACCTTTATAGTGAGCGCGCAGTCCCCACTTTGAGGTATGTTTCGCAGTTTGTGCCACTTCCGATGGAAGACATCAGGCTGGGGCACAGAGAGCATGCCCATCTGGCCGCTCTCTTCCGTTTGCCTCGCTGCGCCTTGCCCCGCGGCGAGTTTTTCCCCCGGGGGGCGCGGGGCGGCCCTCGGACCCCGAGCGTCGAGATGACTGCGCGAGCAGCGCTGATGAGAACCGCGCTTCTGACCCTTCCCGAGTGGGGACCTCTGTTTCAGCTATTGTACCGCGCCTCTTTGGCGCACTATTCGTTGCTTGATCTAGGCCATGGCAGATTGAATCCTGACTTCTGGCAGAGCCCGCCCCTGGTTTCGACTCTAAGGAATGCGGCGGAGGGATTCGTTGGCGACCAAACTTTTGATGCACCAGGACAGGCCGCGCTCAGCGCGGCCAAGGATGTCATTGATGAGCGCAGTGTTCTTGGGAAGAGGCCCACGGTCCAGCGGGCCGTCTCTTTGTGCTTGAAAAGCGCGGCCTACCCCGACACGCTTGCTGTTGCAATATCTCGGCGGCTTTCTGAGTGGTTCCCTGCTTTGAACGAACAGATCTTGGGGGTCGACTGGGGCCCAATTCGGACTGTTCTTTGCAGTGCGCCCATCAGCTTCAGCTCTGCTGCAATGAACACCCTTGCAAGCTCATGGATCACCACAATGAGGCCCCATGATGACATCGTTTCTGGCTGCGCGTTCGGTTGTGGAGGCCCAGACGCATATATCCACGATTGGGCCCACTGTCCGAAATGTCTAGAGTATGTACGTCTCATCTCTGTCCATCATATTCCCGTGTGTCCTCTTGAGCGTTGCGGTGCGTGCGCCTCTCCTCCATCCATGTCTTCACTGGAACCCTGTGCGGCTGCCATTTTCTTGTGCAACTCAGCAGTAGCGGCGAAGACCTCAGGCTTAGTTCTTTCCGCCGAGGACAGTCTCGTGTTGCCCCCGCAGGCCCGTTCGGCCCTCGCGAGGATGCGGCTGGCTAGCTGAGCTATAACTTCGAGGTGCCCCCCTCGGCGACGTCCCAGGAGGAGGAGAGGGGGGGCAGGAGGAGGAGGCCGCCGCCGCCTGCCCCAGCCATCGTCTTCATTTGCCGCTGGAGCCGTCGCTCTGGAAGGAGCCGCGCAGGTGATCGGGCACTGCGCCGATCTTGCATGAAGAGTCATGAGACAGAAACGAATGGGGATCAGGAGCGTCTCAATCTGCGCAGAAAGAGAGACCAGGAGACGATCGTGAATAGACGCAGAAAGACGCGGGCGACGACGAGAACAGCATGAGGATGGGGAGTCGACGCGCCCGTTTGCGAATCGGTCCGAATGGCAGCTTGCTTGCTCAAGGCTTTCTGCCAGGTGTTGCGCGTCGGAAGCCCTGCAGGGGTCTTCCGCTGTGCGCGGGGGGCCAGCCAGGAGGAGTGGACTCGGCTCTTCAGGAGCGCGACGGTGGAGCCGACCTATTAGTTCGCACAGGCAACCCTCCCAATTGTTGGCTTGTTCGCATTCCTCACTGGATGTTCAAGATCGCGACGGAAGCTGCACGCATGCATTGCGCTGTTGTGATCGCGCCTGCGTGGCGACTCGAACCATGCCGAACACTATCACATCCGTGTTTGACGTCCTCGCAGCGAAGCGGGCCGATTTGAAGCGAGTCACCGCGCGGGGCGGCTAGCCCAACAGCTTCACGTGCCATCTACTCTTTGCCTGCCTCGCGAGGTGGTCGGGCGTGGAAAGCGCGGAGCAGCTGACGGAGCTCATCGACGCGAAGGGTGCGGCGCTCTGAACTCACTGGTGACTGCGCCATGATGTCTTCAGACCGCCTTGCGAGGTTTCGCTTCCCATGCTGCGGCGGCCGCTACGCACCAAAACTGGCATGGTCATCCAGATCTTCGGCACCGAGGCTCGGGGGGGCGATTTGCGCTCCGGTCTCATACGCAGCGTAGAGCATGCAGGCCTGAAAGGTCGGTCAACGGAGGATGTGCAGCGACGCGCCTGCTGAAGAGCGAGAGCGGGCGCCTCAGCCTAGTTCTGCGAACCCAGCGCATAGGGCGCGTTGTTGACGCGCCCAATTGTGTACATGACCATCTTGCATACAGGGCTGGTCTGGCGACCGTGAGCGGGTGGGCGGGGCGTTTCCGGTACAAGCAAATGAGGCTGCTCGAGCGGATGAGGCCCCACCCGGCGGACGTGGGGCGCATGGTTGCAGACTGGGACCTGCCGTGTTTTCCCTTTTATCATTCTACGGTTTGTTCACCAGCAGTGGTGGCATGTGGCGAGCTTCGCCCGGGAGTGGAATGGTGCGATCAACGCGCCCCACTCATTCAGCTCGCTTTCTGTGGAACACGGCTCCCCATCAGCCGTCAAAAGTGCCACCCCTGCCGCAGCTGGCGCTGCAGGCTGTCGTGGAGGCCGCGGCGCATGGACACCGTCCGTGGTGCTTTGCGACGCAGCACCATGCAGACCAAAGATGCGCCTCCCTGCTGATGGTTGGTAGTTGCTGCCGTTTGCTGACTCTGCTTATGTGAATGCGTCTTGCCTTGTCCCACCTTCTCAGCAGGTGTTCAGACTCGCAAAAGCCGCGGTTCCAGGCGCAGCTGCTGCTGGCAGAGAAGCCGTTCAACCTTTTTCGGCAGTTGTCTACCTCGGCGCTGCCTCCTGTTCGGAAGGGTTTCGAGATTTTTGCCTTCGCTTCTGGCCCCCATCGCGTTTTGCCTTTTCATCCGGGCCCCCTTTGCTGATCTGCTGAGTGCAGCCTATTTCACGCAAGCCGACACAGCTCCGATGAAACTCATCCGCAGTACAGTTCATGTAATCCGTCATCGTCGTCGTCGTCGTCCATCGTCTTCATCCTGGCATCGGCATTTAGCTTTGCTCTCTCGCCTGTTGCCGCTCGCAACAGATTTTTGCGGTTCGCTTTTTACAGTTGACGCGTCCACTCGCATGCAAGGCCTCAATGTTGTGACTGGAATCTATCCAAGCAGATTTCTGCCCTGCCTGGGCCCCCGGGGTTTCCTGGGCTCGGGCCTTCCATGGTCGTCGAGGGGCGCTCACCAGTCGCAGTGCATGCACATGGCCGTGGTGCAGCATCAAGAGTGTCGTAGGAGACGAGGGGGAGAGGAGGCCCATGGGCAGAGATGGAGGCAGCATTTGTTGAACGATGAGGCCAAGAAGGACGAGGGGGAGGAGGAACAGGAACAGGGGGAACTCGGAACTCGGTGATCAGCGAAAAGGCTCCAGCAGAGATCCACTGTCAAGGGAGTGCAGCACTCGAAGCAGGCTTCAGGCCTGTGATGACGATGATGATGACGACGATGATGATGACGATGATGCTTATGATGTGGCTGATGATGGTTATGCTGATTGTGATGATGATACTGGTGATGATGCTGATGATGCTGATTATGATGTTGGCGATTATGGCGATGATGATGATGATCATGATGCTGCTGATGATGATGATTCTGACGAGGATGCGGATGATGGAGACGACGATGACGACGACGATGACGATGACGATGTCGGTGACGACGATGCTGCTGCTGCTGCTGATGATGATGTTTATGCTGTTGCTGATGATGACGATGATGCTGCTGGTGATGATGCTGCTAAACGTGATGATGTTGCTGATGTTGTTGTTGTAAATGATGATGATGATGATGATGATGATGATGTTGGTGATGTTGATGATGGTGGTGGTGATGATAATTATGGTGGTTGTGGTGTTGACGATGAACACGATGATGATGCTGATGCTGATGCTTCTGATGATGATGATGGTGATGCTGATTGTGACCGAAGATGATGATGATGATGATGATGATGATGATTCGGATCTTGACGATGATGATGATGGTGACAATGATGATGATCATGATGCTGATGATGAGGAGGACGCTGATGATGGTGATGATGATGACGACGACGATGACGATGACGATGACTGACGACGATGCTGCTGATGCTGATGATGATTGTTATGATGCTGTTGATGATTATGAGTATGATGATGTTGATGATGATGATGATGATGATGATGACGCTGCTGATGATGATGATGATGATGATGATGATGATGATGATGGTGCTGATGTTAGTGATGATGATTATGGTGATGGTGATGATGATGATGATGATGATGATGATGATGATGATGATGTTGCTGGTGTTGGTGATGATGATGGCGATGATGGTGATGATGGTGATGGTGATGGTGATGGTGATGGTGGTGGTGATGATTATGATGATGATGAGGAGGAGAAGGATGGATAGATGGAATGATGGATGGATGGATCGATGGATGACTGAGTGAGTGAGTGAATGATTCTATAGGCTTACGCCACATCCGACGACCCCTTGATAAACTACTGTGCCTCCAGGACTGCATCTCACGAGGCTTGTCCGAATCATGACACGGCGCTCGACATCGCTCCTGCTGCCTCGTTGTTGTTATCCCTCTTCGAGGCAGTTTCGAAGGGTCTTGGGGGCCGTTTTGGAGCTTCTTTGGGGCCTCTTGGGGGCTCCTTGGGGCCTCTTGGGTGCCTCATGGGGGCCTCTTGGGGCCGCTTGGGGGCTTCTTGGGTCCTCCAGAGAGCTTCGTTGGGCGGAGCGCTGGAATTCGCGGTTCGTGGTCCCTCTCTTGGGCCCTTGTTGGGGCCGTCTTGGAGCTCTCTTGGGCCGTCTAGGGCGCCTCTTGGGCCACGCTGGAGTTTCCTGGGTTGTTTTTGGGCCCTCCTGGGAGCCTCGTGGGGGTCTCGTAGACGGTTTTCAACGCCGTGAAGGCTAACAAGTCGGATATGCTGAAAATGAATATATTCATTTGGGAATTGGAAGATTTTAGTTTCTTGGAGGCTTTTTGGGAGGCCTCTTGGAGGCTTCGTGGGGTGTCTTAGCAGTCTCTTCGGAACGATCTTTCAGTGTTTTTGGGTTCTCGTGGACCGTCTTGGCGGCTTCTTGGGAGGAGTCAAGTGCTGTCGTGCAGCTCAAGAGCGAGCCCAGGGAGCCCACACCGCCCCGGGTGAGTTCGGTCCGGGGCCACCCGGGGCCAGGGGGGGGTCAAAATCCCGCTTTGGGGTTCCTGGGGGGGATTATAGGGGGGAACAATCTCACACGCGGATATGGCTAGGACGATGATGAGGAGGTGGAAGATAATATGGACCAGCGGTGGTTCGGGGCTTGGAGGGCCAAGTGCGTGTAGATCGAGGTGTGGTGTAAGGCCCGGCTACGGTTCAGGCGATCGGCACAATAAGAAGTCAGGCGGGCTTCACGAGGAAGGATGAGAGAGGATGTCAAATGTGAAGTAGGGCTGGGGCAGGGGGGCGTAAAGTGTGGACGGCGGATGACAGGAAGGTTGTGCGGTCTCTGTGTCCTGGTCTGACGCGTTGCGGGCCAGCCGACGTGAGATGACGCGCCCATGCGGAGGTGTTTCGACCACTACTGTGACGCGAACAACGTTTGTGGAGGGGGGGGCTGAGATTTGCATCAGGCGCCTGCAGCCATGACCCGAGGATACCAGAAACGACTCGTCAACCTCAGGCTTTCCTGGGTGTGGATGGTCACTGGGAAGAGCTTGAGGGTGCAATGCGTTCTTGGGACCAAGAGATACTTGCCACTTCTAGCTGCTCGAAATTTCAGATCTCAAGCCTGCGCGCGCACGCCTGGCCACAGGGCCACTCCCTCGGGAGCTAGCGGAGGTGAGAGCTGCTGCAGCATAGTGCTAGCCAGCCAGCTCTATGAAGACCATGCAGTAAAGTGCTCCACCCCTTCGCCCCCGAGTTCGACGACCTCGCGCCACCACCCACAAGGCGGATGCCAGCTAACGGACGACAGCAAGAGACCGCACCCCACGACGAGGGGTTTCGATTTGCGAGAACAGCTGCTTTGCGAGTAGCCGCGCGCTGTTGCCTACCACCGAGGGTGCGACAAATTCGAGCTTTAGGTGTGGGGAACGCTGATAGCATAATTCTCTCTCTCTCTCTCGGGGGCGTCCGACGGCCCTCTTGGGCCATCTAAAAAACATGCGGGGACATCTTCGTCCTTCCTGAGTGGGTTCCAGGAGTTTCTGGAGGGGTGTCGAACCACCATGGGGGAAGAGGAGGCGTCGAGGACAGGACTTACGGCGACCGAGCGCTCGGACGAGACCTGGACAGCAGCCCATCAACCAAACATCGTCCAGATAGCGTACGCTTCGGTCTACAAGAGGTTCAGATCGCTACAGCAAGGGCCATCATCTCGGAAAGAGGGGGGGGTCACTACCTGTTCGACCCCCCCCACCCCCCACCCCCGGAAAACCGGGGGGGGTCACTACCGGTTTGAACCCCTCCCCCCCCAGTTTATCATGAAAAGGGGGGGGGGATCACCGGTTCCCCCCCTCGAAAACGGGGGGGAGTCACTACGGGTTCGAACCCCCCCCCCCTCCATCGAAAACCGGGGGTGGGTGCGGACAGTGGTGGGGACGGTGGTGGTGGGGACAGTGGTGAGGGGACAGCGGGACAGTGGTGGGGACAGTGGGACGGTGGTGGGGACGGTAGTGGTGGGGACAGTGGTGAAGGCGGTGTTGAGGACAGTGGAGGGACAGTAGCACAGTGGGGAAAGTGGTGGGGACAGTGAGGACAGTGGGATAGTGATGGGGACAGTGGGGACGCTGGGATAGCACAGTGGGACAGCGGCGGGGACAGTGGGACAGTAGTGGGTACAGTGGGGACAGTGGGACAGTGGTGGGGACCGTGGGGAAAGTGAGGAGAGTGGGACTGTGGTGGGACAATGGTGGGGAGAGTGGGGACATTGACACACTGGTGGGGGCACTGGTGGGGACAGCGGGGACAATGGTGGGAACAGTGGGGACAGTGGGACAGTCGTGGGGACGGTGGTGGTGGGGACAGTGGTGTGGGGACAGGGGGAACGTGGCGGAAACAGTGGGACAGTGGAGGGTGCAGTGGTTGTGGGGACAGTGGTGAGGGCGGTGGCGAGGACGGCGGTGGGACAATGTGACAGAGGTACAGTGGGGACAGTGGTGGGGACAGTGAGGACAGTGGTGGGAACAGTGGGACAGCTCAGTGGGACAGCGGAGGAGACAGTGGGACAGTGGGGACAGTGGGGACAGTCGGGCAATGGTTGGGGCCGTGGAGAAAGTGGGGGAGAGTGGAACGGTGGTGGGAACAGTGGTGGGGACAGTGGGGACAGTACGACAGTGGTGGGGGCACTGGTGGGGACAGTAGGGACGGTGGTGGAACCAGTGGGGACAGTGGTGGTGAGGACAGTGGAGCGGGGAACAGCAGTGGGGGATGTGGTGCGGACGGTGGTAGGGACCGGGAGTTGTTTGCTGGCGGTGAGGGGGGGGGGAGGGGTTCGAACCGGTAGTGACCCTCCCCCGGCTTTCGAGGGGGGGGGGTCGAACCGGTAGTGACCCCCCCGTTTTCGAGGGAGGGGGGGTTCGAACCGGTAGTGACCACCCCCGGTTTTCGAGGGGGGGAGGGGCTCGAACCGGTAGTGCGGTTTTCCGGGGGGGTTCGAACCGGTAGTGGGGTTTCCGGGGGGGTTCGAACCGGTGACCCCCTCCCGGTTTTCCGAGGGAGGGGGGGGTTCGAACGGTAATTAGTGACCCCGGTTTTTCTGGGGGGGAGGGAGAGGGGGGGTTAGGGGGGAGGGGGGGGTTTTGCCGGGGGAAGCGAAGGGGGGGGAGGGGGGGGTTCCAGCAGGGGGGGATTTGCGGAGGGGGGGGGGCGGGTTCCGGAGGAAGAGGGGGGGAAGGGAATTTTCCATAGTAAAGCGGCGGTGGATCACGCTCTCTTTCATCTCGATAACCTATTCTTAGGAGGATGGAAGACGAGCCACAGTCACGACATCGTAGCCGTTGTCAGTCAATCTCTGGAACTTGGTCAGAGCTGGATGGACATGGCGGACAGCAAAGCCCACAACGACAACGGCGTCACACAACGGCACTCTCCCATCGTCCCTCCAACCTCGTTGGATCTGCCTGAGCACTGCGGCGGCCGCAGCCCACCAACACCGATGCCCTTGCATAGTTCTGCTTGCTGGGTCTGCTGTTTCCGAGCCCATCGCGAGAGCGAGGGGGCTTGTTCCAGGGGTCCAGATTCTACCAACTAGGTTTAGCTTTATGTTTCACTGTGGGGATCAGTGCTCAGAGAACGATCCGTACCATTGTGGCTCAAGCGGAAAACATTATGTCTTCTCTCTTGCTGCCACAATTGGTAGCGGAGCGGAGTTTGGCCGGGCGGCCATGGGCGGGAACTCGCGGCCATAGCGGTCGCTGCTCGCCCGCTTGCGCGCCCCTGGCCCAGTTTCTACACATAACGCCGCACCGGGCCCGGGGGCCCCGGGGCCGCAGCCCCGACCACAAATGGGGGGACGTCGGGCCCAGCCCGCTCCCCGGCGGGCCCCAGGTCGGCCCCCAGAGCGCCCAGACGACCGTCCAGGCGGCCCCGGGCCGCCCATAGCCACCCTGAAGGTAACCTCAAGCGGTTTCCGGCGGCTCAAGAGGCGTCTCGAACCGCCCCAGACGCCCCCAAGACGCTCGAAGACCCCTCCAAAAGATTTCCGCAGACGGCCCCGGGAAGCAAAAATAGCCACCTGCTGCTGCGGGCTGCTGGCGGGCGCTCGCGCCGCGAGCGACTTTGCAGCGATGGCCGGGGGGGGCTCTCTTTTCCGATGTCGGGGCACGCGGCCGCGCCCGGCGCGTGGCGTCTGAGCGGATAACAGCGCGCCAATGTTTTGTGGCCGATTGCGAGTCGAGTGTTATTGCGGCTCGAGTTTGGCTCGGGGCCAGCGACGCAAGGCCCGCGGCGCGCCCGGGGCAGCCACGGCTGCCCGCGGCCTTCCCGCGGCCAGCGCGAGACTGGTGATGGGCGAGGGATTTGGCTTTTCCGCCCCGGGCTGAAAGACTTTTTGGGGTCCTCGACATAATTGCCAGCAGCCTTAAGTGCACCCAGCAAGTGCCGGCAGCTGATCAGCCGGACTCTGCGCGCACTCTTGCGAGGTCTGCCAAGAGCGCGGAAGAGGGGGCGGGAACATTTGACGCGAAATGCGCGAATCAGAAATTCATGTTCGACGCGGCGCCAAGCGACGCCGACGGGGGCGAGCTGGGCGAGGTGCAGGAGCAAGATAATCTTGATAAGGGGGAGGGCGACGATGACATAGAGAGCGCAGATCTTGCGGGCGCGAGCCCGTCGCCCCGGAATCGGCCCGATCCTGCTGGAAGGCGAGAGGAGCTTTTTTCGGCGAACCCAGAATCGCAGGAATGAGCGACGGCAAGACACGTTATGGTTAGAGCGACGCGCTGGGGTGCTCGAGCGCGGCGGCGCCCGCCGGGCGAAGAAACGGTTGCTTGCGGGTCCCGCGCCGAAGGGCGCGTGGGTTCTCAATCAGCATCCACGCGCGAGCCCTCTCGGCGCCCCGGCGCCCCCCCCCCCGCGACGCGCCCGCGCGGCGCGACTACAGCGGGCCACCGCCACCAGAGATGAACGCCGCGAGCATGATGCGCGACTTTTGAACATGACCTTCAAGATGATCCTGTGAATAGAACCCGTGTAATACCTTCATATATACTCCTTATCCTCACTTCTCCTGCGCCTGGCCGTTTGGGCTCAGGCATTGGGACAGATCGATCAGACCTTTGATCGTGCAGGAGGGAAAGACATCCATCTATCCTTCCTTCCCTCTACCAGCGGATCAGGGGTTCTGTACCCTTGTACTTCAACCCCATTCACAGGTTATCAGCCCTTTAAAGCTCACTCTTCATCGAACCCCGCGTCGCGATCTCGCACGCGGCCTCGATGGAACCCAAGCGGCGCATGCGCCGTAAGGGGTCCATCGGGGCCTCGCGTCCGAGCTCTCCGACGGCGCGACGGCTCGGTGACGAGTTGGAGAGCCTTAGTGCGGACTGTGTTGGTGTCCCAGGTACCCCCCCCCCCCCAGCTCCGACGGACCCGAGGCGCAGCTAGCTGCTGAACTTCATCGCAGAGCCGCCCGCGGGGGTACAGGAGAAGGAGTAGGAACAGGTAGGAAGGAGTTCCACACGCCTACCTTCGATCCTCCATCTCCTCCTCAGTCGGGAGCAATCCCAACTGCGTCAGGCGAAAGCCTCACTGGTCCTGATACTCCAGGGCGCTTTCGCGCTAACCGCCGATGGGCATCAGGTGCTGGTACCCCCAGCCCTGCGACCGTTCCTGTTGCGGAGCACGTAGCCACCTTCGAGGAACTCAGTAGACCAGTGACGACACAGTCGCAGACGCAGCACCCCAAGGCATCATCGGATGAGACACCACACACACACGGTCCTAGTCGCAGCTCGTCCGCGCGCAACCGTCGTGGGGCCCCAGGCCCATACGGCGAGAGTAGGTCGAGCCCGCGTACAGCCTCTCAGAGGCCAAGCACTCCTCGCGAGAGGGGGCAGAGGGAAGCCTATGCTCCCCACCTCTCCATCTCAGACGACCGGCTG